GCCCCCAGCCCCTTGCCACACTCTGCTCTGGATTTATTTCATTTTGTGTCATTCTCCCTCTGTTGTGGCTGTTCCTGGTTTGTTTTGCTCTGTTGTGTCTGTCTGGGGGCTTTACTCTCTTCTGACTTTTGTTGTTGTTGTTGTTTGTTGTTTTTTTTATCCTTCTCTCCTTCTCTCTCTTTCCTCCTCTTTCTCTCCTTCTTTCTTCTCTCTTGGCCCCTTTTTTGACAGTACGATGAGCTGCCCCATTACGGCGGGATGGACGGAGTAGGGGGGCCGGCTTCCATGTACGGAGACCCTCACGCCCCCCGGCCGATCCCCCCAGTTCACCACCTGAACCACGGGCCGCCGCTACACGCCAGCCAGCACTATGGAGCCCACGCCCCGCACCCCAATGTCATGCCGGCCAGCATGGGATCCGCTGTCAACGACGCCTTGAAGCGGGACAAGGATGCGATCTACGGGTGAGTACAGCCAGGGCAGCCCGGGCGCCATAGCCCTGCGTGCAGCGTGGGGCGGGAGGCAGGGGAGAAGCAGGGCTCCGGAGCCAAAGAGCTGCTCCCTCCCGGTGGGGATGGGGGCTGCCGGGGGGCAGGAGGGCACTGGGGACGCCTAGTCTAAACTCTCCCGCAGAAAAGAAAGGAAAAGAAAAAAAGGAGCCCTTCATTAGACACAACTAGGAAAGCTTTCAGGAGATTTACATGCACAGAGTCCTGGATCACTGATCTGGAGGAAGGCGTGTAACGTACCCCTTGCTGTTATTGCTATTTTGAATCCAAGTAACATTGTAGGCCGATTCTGCAGGGGAGACATCAGCACCCCTAAAACATGGGCAGCCGGAAAATGCACCCCTCCAAGTGAATTTTTTTTTTAATTTAGTTTTTATTGATTGTTTCTCTCCCCTCGCATAGGCACAAGTTAGGAGTTGAGGCAGAGGCGGGTTGCTGGCAGTGCCCTGGGTTTGAGCTGAAGCAGTGCTGGGGTGCATCAGGGTGCTAGAAGGACCCTGTCAATGAAGAGGTCTCCAGATCTGGGGAGACCGAGCGATGATGAAGGGGGTTCCCTTTTTTTGCAAAGGGAAAAAAATAGGAGGGAGGGAGCTGAGGTTCTCATTTAGGAAAGAAAGAAAACAAAACTCCAGGCTGTACCAGCGCAGTGCTTGGGGGAATGACACCGATTCTCTTCAGTGCACTTCGGTGGGAAACTGTAAATTACTCTAAAAAGAGATAGTCACCTCCCTGACATAGTGAGGCCCCTGACTGGAGACACAAACAGGGAGAACAGACAACCGCACACATGCTACTTAACACAGATTTCCCCCCCCCCCCCCCACCGCCCCCACTTGGGGAAAAATTTTTTAGAAGGTTTTTGCCCCCCCCCCCCCACTCTA